TCGTATTTATAATTTAACGTGAGGATATGAAATCAGGAATGATTACGAAATACTTGCAGCTGAGGTTCAGTGAACTTGGCTATTGTCATCCCACCTACACTTTTGTTATAAACGAGATTTAAGGTAAATGTTTTATTTTCTAGTAGTTCAGGTGGGTAGCTGCGTCAGCATGCGTAGTCTGCAAAGTAACAGGTTTATTCCATGCTGAAAAGAAAAGAGAGAAAACACAACGTTTCGGCTGTGAAGCCTTCTGTATTAGTAACTGGACAAAGCCCTGTATTCAGGCCAATTTACCTATACATAATGCAGGATTACAAGCCTTGTTGTTTTTTGACCTTGATAAATTCTTAAATTCTTCTTTAATTAAGGCAATACTTTGTCCGATTATCTATTTTAGACAGAAGAATGACTGTTGATGCTGTTTTATTTTGTGCTTAGGTGGTAAACTTCCTGGAGGATATCATTATCTCCATGCTTCAAAGCCAGGAATTGGCACCCCTCTAGCAGCACAAATGTCACAATCGAAATATGTATGTACCGCCTTAAAAACACATTTCAAAACTCCTTAACATCCTTGTTACTGAACAGTGCATTTTTGTTTGTACTAGAATTATAATGAATTCATGATACGACTCACCCATTACATTGTGATATTATTTCCTATACCTACTTAAGTTATGAGGGTCAGTGGTATATACTGTAATTTGTGTGATAAAAAGCCATCATTAGGATACCAGTACTTTAATTCTGCCATCGAACAAACCTGGTATTTAGCTAGAACATTTTGGTTCAATTTTTAAATTAAATTCCACTATAAGGATATGCACGTCTGTACATGCAAGTATTTCAAACTCAGTTAATGCATATCTACCACTGAAAGCAATACACTACAACTCATAAACAGGAACCTGGCTATTTGAAGAGGGATACGGAGATGACAAATATCACTACCTGTGACATTTCAAAAGCAGGACACTCATCTCAAAAATAATCATTTGTTTTTGGTACTTTTTATTTAATTTGAATCGCTGGACATTTTTCTCCTGGTGGTGAGCACCATGCTTGCCTTCCTGCGAAGTGCGTACTGTCAGAGCCATTTACTTCTTATTCAGAATGAGAGACCTATGGTTTCTACAACAATCGGCACCGCAAGCTCACAGGAGCCTGACCAGCCACAGGGATGGCTCACAGGGACAAATTGAGCATTCGGTGGCCAACTCAAGCTCAGCCAAAGCCAGGGGCCATTCAACCAATTGTACATTACTTCTCAGACAATCCCTCTGACATTCAGATTAAGATAACACTCAAACCAGCCATGCCTGGAGGGGTCTTTTAACATGGCTTATGAAAGACCCACTTTTGACTGTAAATTATATATTGGAGAGATATAGAGATGAAATGAGAAAATAATTGTACTTGGAATTTGTCGAATTGTCATAGCGACGATAAATATTTTTATTGTTTTAATTTAGACAATGTTTATTCTTTTATTAATGTTAAAACATTAGCAATTTTATGTCTTCCCAGGGCAGAGAAATTGTAACAGGAAGTTCAGAAAATGGGAATTATTTTAGACTCCACCTGAACCAATACAATGAGGTTGAAACCATTACTTGCCTTTCACTGAAACCTTTCCCGGCTTCAAATTATCTGTGCTTATATGGAGAGAATGAGCAACTGCTGAATGGTCTCTGTGATCGATTTGATGAAGGACTCATTTCTGACTTTTACAGGTAAGTTTTCATTTAATTCTAAAAGTAATTGAAGCATACTGTGGAAATATTTAGGGAAAACCTAAAACGTAATTTGATTGTGTAGTAATTTGATCAACTGTGTTATTAGTTTCAAAAAGCATGTGAATCAGTAACAGTAGTAATTAAAAATAACAATGAAAATGATTCCAATATTTATGTTTATGATTATGATCAAGTATGTGGGCAGCATAGTGATGTGGATGTCAGCAAAGCTGCCTCTCAACTTTCAACCTCAACCTCTCAAACCAGTGATCCTGGTTTCAGTTTTGTCTGTGTGGTGTTTGCCTTTTCTCCAGTAGTTCTTGGGATTTTCATGAGCAGCTCTACTTCCATCACATCCCAGATATTAATTTTTTTCACTGGCTATTTAAATTCTCCCTTTCTCTCCATGCTGTTCTGTACTGTACTGTCATGTGCTCTCTCAGGCCCCACCTGGCATTACTGTGCTTCCAGGATAAGCTCTGGTGTTCCTCCAAAGTCACCATGATAAGCGCTTTACTATGAAACGTTTAGAAAACCAAAAGCAGTGACATTTCTTTGCTCTGTTTTTTACTGCACTGACTTGGATAACCGGGTCAGCTCAATTCGATTGAACCCCAGCGATGCTCAGTTTTCACTTGATCAATTACTGACACTCCTGGACACTTTTATCTTGACAGCTAATACTAACATTGAAACTCTCTTATTATTTTCAAAACATCTAATAGAAAAAAAATAATATAATATCAATATTAAATGTCTGCACACATCTTGCATTTAATATTCATGTGATAGGTGTGCTAACTAGCACATTTATGTAATATTTATCCAGTCATTAATTTGGAATGCATGAAATTTAATGCATGAAATCTGGACACTCCACTCAAAGTGCTTTACAGCTAATGTGGACTCCCCTCCACCACCACCAGTGTGCAGCCCCACCTGGATGATGCGACGGCAGCCACAGTGCGCCAGTATGCTCCCCACACACCAGCTCTCAGTGGGGAGGAGAACAGAGTGATGAAGCCAGTTCAGAGATGGGAAATATTAGGAGGCCATGATTGTTAAAGGCCAGGGGGAAATTTCGCCAGGGGTTACACCCCTACTGTTCTTGAGAAATGCCCTGGGATTTTTAATGACCACAGAGAGTCAGGACCTCGGTTTTACGTCTCATCCAAAGGACGATGCCTTTTTACAGTATAGTGTCCACGTCCCTATACTGGGAATTTAGGACCCACACAGACTGCAGGGTGAGCTCCCCCTGCTGGCCCCACTAACACCTCTTCCAGCAGCAAGCTTAGTTTTTCCCAGGAGGTCTTCCATCCAGGTACTGACCAGGCTCACACCTGCTGAGCTTCAGTGGGCTGCCAGTTGTGAGTTGCTGGGTGGTATGGCTGCTGGCATATTTCTATATGTGTAAACAATTCTTAATTCTAAGTAAATACAATTTGAATCTCACATTATAATGAAAAAACTAGTGTACGTGTAAGATGGCTACATTAGTTTTTCTTCAATCATTAGATAATAAATGCTCTTGGCTCTCTTTGCCTACAAACGTTCATCTGCATCTGCATCATACTGTCTGCAGGTTTCATCTATGCACATAACTTTCTTTGGGATTCACATCCACTTTTTAGGCATTTCCTTTTGTTTGCTATTTACTTTATTTTTTTCCATTTATTTTTCACTACAGTGTGGAAAATGCATATTACAGTGTCAATTAATGATCAATGAAAATATACTTTACTAAAACGCTTTTACAGTTTTAAAGTTACTGGTTTATGGCACTTACTTTGCAACAATAATAACACTTCTATGGTCTAAATAATGTAAAAAGGCAGGAGTATATTATAGCTGTTTTCAAAACATACAACCTGATTTATTTGTTTAAGAATATAATAAAGGTCACAATCAATTCATCCCATATAAATTATTTTAATGCTAGTACCTTATTGATACATTTTCTGTAATTAATCTTTTTTCTTTAAACAATGATTGGTAAGTAATAAACTGTTCAATGTGGAATAATTATGTAAAGCAATGAGCATCAATTGTGAGCATCAATGCACAGAGACTGTTAGTATGTAAAACACATAAAACCTTTACTAACATTATACTGTAGAACGTCCTTAACTTATTACTGCAATTTTAATTTTGCATTTGGGTGTTAAACAGGATAAGGAGTTGGTATTTATACAGACTTTCTTAGAATTCTGGTAGTAATAATAATTGTAATTTTGCATTGGCAAACAAGCAATTAACTATGATAAATAACAACAGATTCAATTTCTTGAAATAGTATCTCAGTTTAAGAAAATGGAAAGCATTTTCTCTAAACACAAAAAGTCAAAAACTTAATAAGAACCGTGAACTACAACCATCTTAAAATCCAATATTATACAATATTTTACATTCTATGGATAATTTTCATACTGTTTTTCATAATTTAAAAACAAAAAGTGTCAATCAGTTTACAAGGTTAATTTAGGCTACAATTGCAGATCCACACCATGCTGCACTGTATAATCTAAAATATAGCTCAACAGTTTGTGCTTAAGCTTCTCCTTTTTAAAGACAGGGATGTCCAAGCTACTTTGTTTTGTTAAAAAATAGAATCCTCAAGCTGAAACCTCTCCCTGGGGTGTATTTTCATTTATATTAAATCTTGGTACTGTACATCATTGCCCTCATTAAGAAAGAAGAAAAAAAGAGGTATAAAACACAGTTACTTGGGCCTTTTTATCTCTGTGTGCCCTGAAACTGTCTAAGGTAATAAGCTGTAACAATTAGTGACAGCAAATGCTGATAAAACAAAGGTTTCCATTAGTACCCTTCTGATGGGGATCATTGGCTCCGTGTTACAGAGAATCATGTTTTAACAGCGTCTTTTTAATATTTAAACCAAAATGACCCCAAAACATTTGAGCCATTGTCTGCAAATTGAATCTGTTTATGCAGTTGTCCAATCTGCTTTTCTCCATTGCAGGTAGACAATAGAGAAGCCACCATACACTGGTTGTCAGGCCTTCAAATTCTGATTAAATCTGGTTTCTTCACTGGGTCTTGCCACAGCTCTGATTTAAGCCACTTTAAATGTAATTACTGAAGCTGGCTGAACATCAAGAACATCCATTAAATTAATTGATTGACCATGCTGTTCTAGGAGGTATTTTATGAACAAATGATCATGACAGGCTCTGAGCTGCTCAGGAAAAAAAAAACAAGGAGAAAGGTACAAAAAAATATTGTAGTATCTAATCAGAAAACTGTGAAGTTACAGAAGTTGTTTGCTTTTTTTACACAGCTATTTTAAGGAGTCGTGGTGTCTGGCCATATACCACGATCGTTTTATGGATTTTAAGCAAGAAGTGCTGCAGATCATGGCATCAAGACAGGTACTAGTTTGAAAATCGCCATTCCCATTGGTACCACTGTCATTCATATCGCCATTTTTCATTCGGGAGTGTAACATAACCAGATGTATTTTACCTGCTTTCAGAATCCAGATTCTCCCTCATTTGCAGAAATAGCTCAACAGATAGTGGATGAAGAATTGAGTCTTCCAGAGGAGCCCAAACAGTATCTCAGAAGAACAGCTGAAGAATGCAATATCAGAAAGCCTGTGGAGAGAAGCACTCTGAGTTACCTCAAATACAACAGATGCCATCTACCCATGTATGCTCTACCAGGGCTTATATAGGCTTAGATATTCTTCATTCTTTCATTTTTGAATATGTACAGAAATGTTTTCGTCGATATATTTTCCTGCCTATGAAAAACAACATTGTATGTCAATTTCCAAAGGGACTTTTTAAGATGAAAAGAATACACTTAACAGAAGTAATTTAAAATTAAATTAAAAAGTAAGACTAGTTTAGTTTCCATTCACGAAATATCAAAGTATCCCATATTATATTCAAAATGCAACTAAGCTGATTTCTTACTGTTATTATTTTGATGATCAATTCAGTGTTCAATCTCAAATCTCATTTAATAAACACTGAATGTTTACTTGAAAACTGATCCTTCGCATTCTCTCTCTAGGCATCGATGTACGGTAGAAATGTTCTGTGTTTCGGGTGGAATTACTTAACTTCTCCTGTAGATGGTGCAAGAAAGTAGACCTGGGCTGTTTTAAAACTACATACTGTATGCAACGCGAGTGCAGACACAAACTTTTAGAAATCAAATTTGATCTAAAGGTTTGATAGATTGCATTGGTTAAGACAAAGTCTGGTAGACGTTTGTGTATGATCTGTGAGGGACAGCCTACCGAGTTTGTATCACTGATTTACACGGACTTCATGCTGTTTGAAGGTGGAGTAAAACGTTAACGCACATAAATACGTGTATTCTGAGTTTCATTTTGAAAGTGGGTGAAATAATACTTTATATATGACATCGATTTTTTTCTGGAGTTTTTTTAAAATTTGGTTTTGGATTAACTTTAACATGACAGTCCTTATTGACAGTCGTAATGGGTAGAATACTGTATAATGCCGCAGGTTAAGACAAGCGGTCAAAATTCAATACATTTGGACATAAGCTATTTATTGACTCGCTTGGCCTTCCTTCATTTATTTATATTGTATAACAACGTCTGATCTGTATGAATATTAAGGTATGTTAGTAACAAAAAATTTGGGTTGAGTGAGGAAAGTGCAAAACGAGGCTGTTGAACCGTTTAAAGTTAAAAATAGATAAACGTTTTATGCAAACTATTTCAGAAAGACAAATCTTGCTATCAGACGCGGAACACAAAGTAATTAGAGGCCAATAAAGAGAATGCAATCTGTCAAAGCGAATGGACAATAAAAAAAGAATAAAGACTCAGAACTGCAGTCTCTGCCATCTCCGCGTCCCCCCAGAAAAGCAGAACTTTAATTGTCAGTATAGGAGAGAGTTTAACAACGAGACCTTCGTCCGGAACATTTTCAGACAGGTTTTTTTTAAGTTCCTTTCTTTCTTGTTGAAGGGGGTGGGGTACTGATAAGAAGGGGATGAAAGTGGATAGTGTGTACATTAGGAAGGAGGGACCTGCAGCTGTATGCTAATGAGGACCAAATCTTCACTCCATCGCCTGCTGGGCAGCACGCGCCATTGAACAAACACGCACACACGCATCCTAAACAAATAGTGCTAGTCCACAGAAGCGCATTAAAGAAATCGTTAAATGCCATCAAACAATGTATTTGTGCCCAGTGTATAAAACAAAAGACAATTTTATAAGTGCGATAATAAACTTTTGCTAAGAAATTCCATGTGGACGTTTTTTGTCGCACATGAATCTTTAAAAAGTGTGTGGCGACACCTTATTTAAAAATGCATCTGCGCCTTGCAGACGTTTTGATTTTACCGGCCTCTTCTATGTTTATTAAGTGGAAGAATTGCTAAAAAACGTACCGCTGTCAGACCTTGATAAATCAGGAAATCTATATCCATCATACTATGAATCGTTCATATCGTGGAATAATGTTGATTAAAGGCGAAAGTTCTATCGCTTCAGTGAGCCGCAGCATACTTTTGTGTTGAGGTATGAGTCGGTGGAAAGATGAATTGTTAAAAATTGCTAAATTAACGTTGTTTAAGGTTTTTTTTAAGGTGAATGTGGTTTTAAAAAGAGGACATCTCTTGGGTTTTTTTTACATCGAACGCGATTTAAACGTAAATTTTAGAACCACGAGTTACTCGGGTTAAAATGATCACCGTTATGTACAGTTACAGCTAGGCTCTGTATATATACTGATTTGAAAACAATGCAAATAACATGTATGTATGGAAAAGTATAAAACAACATAATATAATGTGCGTTCAGGGAAATGTCTCCAATCCTCCGGTTGTGTAATTATTTGACTCGGTCCCCCACAGCAGCTTTATGCTAATATGGGGAACAATGAGGGATGATGGAGCTTAATTCCGTCTTGCTTCTCGCGTGCCTCAAAAAGAGGAGCAATTCCTGCGAACACTGAGCGTGCATCCAATGAAATTACTGAGGTCAGCCTGTGTACACAACCACTCTCTATTTACTAACAAATCCTATAATAGGAATTCTGTGCATTGACCGCAGACTTTTAAGTTAGGAGCTGTGTACAATGGCTGACATTACTTCATGTAATATAAGCAAAGGGAGGCTGAATGCTTTTCAAGTTTTCCATTCCTGATTGATGTTCAAATATTTACCAAAATTAAAGGAACGCGAGAGAATTACAATGGTTTCACAACTATTTTTTAAGCGACGGCAGAAATAAATTCAAAATGTTTACAAGCACGACGAAGTTCTGCACAACAACGCACGGCAAATGTTTCACGAAATTCTACGTTTGATTGTGTTGTCTTCAGACACGCTTTTCCGAGAGTTTACATCGATAAAATAAGATTCGGGTGTATGATTTAAACAGGGCATATTGCTCTTCTGAAGAAAACGTGTGAAAATCATAATGAAAGGAGAAGCATACCTATTTATCCTGCGGTTGAAAATGCCTGTACATATTTCTTGAAGTTTTCCAAAACCGTTATAAAATGGATTGTTGGTGACTTATAAAAAGGTATTAAATGTGTATTTAGGGTATTAGTTGACACATATTACTGAAGAAAAGCTTAATGCAGCTTTGTCTTTGAGTCTTAACCATTGCAAAGTTACTCGTACAATTTTACTGAACAATTTACAGGTTGATATCCGTTTGAAATTATCATTGTTGTTTGATTAATTTAGTTAGGCTGTTCGTAAACGAACATCTTCAAATTCGCAAACTTTATTTTATTTTTGTTTGTATATTGTGCAATGAATTTACTGTGGATACGGCTTTCCTAATTACAAGAAAGCAGCTCGCGTCATATTATCATGAGACCTAAGAAAAGTGCTCAAGTCCACGATGCTGAAACTATGTTGCTACAGTAGTTGCTAAAAAGGAATCGGCCGGAACAACAATCTGTAACTGGCGACAAATCATTTAAAATAAAGCAACGTCCCTGTCCTGCTTTCTTACCGGAGCACTTACGCTAAAAAGTGATGGGACACGATCTGACCCGGGGAGTTTTCTGTCTGTAATGGGAAGATCACCGTGGAGTAAGCCTTTTGCAAGCGCTCTGCTTTGTCTGCGGCACTGATTACACACAGCACGCGCCTATCTTTTGGACAGATTGCCCGTGAGTCCCATTTCACCGTGAAGAGGTCAATTTCCTTTTCAAACGCAAACGGGATGTACAGCTTGGGATGGCACGGCTATTGTGCGGCAAGACAGGAACGCCTTTTTATTATTTATGTATGCGGAGGATGTCTGATGTATAACTAAAGACTTAAACTGCCGAATGCGACACGTGCCTCGATCGCTGTCTAAATGCACGCTAGTCTACACTAAAGGTTCGTTTATGGCTAACTCTCTCTGAGTGCTACATATGCCATATCAGCAGCGCCTGGTTACTCGTGATATGAACCCGTGCAATGTAAAACTTCTTTGTTACTATTCCGAAATTAAACAGGGCACATCACTACCCCCCAACCCCCACTACCACCACCACCACCACACACACACCATTTTAATTTTAAATTCTGATGATCATGGTAGTGACGGACATTTCCTTTTGGCAGATCAGTGGCCCCCAAAGGAGACACACAAAGCCATGGCACGTGTGTATTTGTATAGAAACTCATCAGACCGTAAAAAGAGGAGGGTCCGGCGTGTGCCTCCATCAGGGAGGGGCCGAGCACGCACGGTAATATAATAAACCACAGGTACATCTGCTAAGCAATCTGCAAACCCTCCTACATTTTCCCCCGAAACCAAGTCGTCCTACCCTCCCACTAGCAAATCCATAGGGATCTTCGTTTCCTCTGATTGGCTGGGGATGTGGCAACAAGGGGCGAAACAATAGCATCATTCCTCCTTAAAAAGAGTGCAGCTATGCCTTAGAGACGAAAGCATTTCGGGAAGACAGAGATCAATAGCACAAAATACGCTAAAGAAATAAAGTTTAAAGTGCGCTCGTGATTTCCTGAATCTGGATTTTATTTAAACGCTTGATTCATACGCGTCTTTTTCTAAGTGCCTTTTTGTTATCCGCCAAGATGCCCAAAGGTTTTCTGGTCAAGAGAAACAAGAAATCGACGCTTGTCTCCTACAGGATTCGCAGTGATGAAGAAGAGCAGGATCAAATGAAAGCCGTGCAGAATCAAACGGATTCATCCCCTCCTCTTTCCGTCTCGTCCAGCCCTGACCGGGCTGCAGCCTCGCCATGCCATGTAGCAGATACTCCTGTCTCGGAGCAGGATGCTAAACCGGTCCAGTTTGGCAACCCGGAGACAGTGTACCAGGCGCTCTACAGCCCCACCCGGCCAATCAGCAAAGAACACGACAGGAATTTTTTCGAGAGAAGTTTCAATCTGGGATCCCCAATTTCTGCCGAGTCCTTTCCGACACCAGCGGTTCTCACCACTTTAGATCAGCTCCTATTTGCCCCCGTGGACTTGAAGATCGGTACGAGCAACAGCAATCGGAGCGGAACCACCGGCTCCTTTCCCACTGCGACCCAGAGAAACGCCACTAAAAGGCCTCCCTCAGACGGCGATCGCAAGAGTAAACCTATAGCAAAAAAACCCAAAGCGATCAGGAAACTGAACTTCGAAGACGAAGTCACCACCTCCCCGGTACTTGGTCTGAAAATCAAAGAAGGGCCAGTTGACTTAAAACCAAGACAACATTCATCCGGAGGTAACAAACCTTTAGGGGAGTTCATCTGCCAGCTGTGCAAGGAAGAATACGCCGACCCGTTCTCTTTAGCGCAGCACAAGTGCTCCAGGATTGTCAGAGTTGAATACAGATGCCCCGAATGTGACAAGGTCTTCAGCTGCCCAGCGAACCTCGCTTCCCACCGGCGCTGGCACAAACCGAGACCCCAAAACGCCACCGCAACGTCAGCTCCCCAGAGCGCCAAACCCGACGTCGCCAAGGTGCCTTCTGGTGACAAGGCCGGGTCCGAAGACACGAAAGAGGCGAGGATCGACGCGACGAGCGACAGGGACACCCCGAGCCCAGGCCTGTCGGAGTCCGGGTCGGAGGACGGCCTGTACGACTGCCACCATTGCGGGAAAAAGTTTAAGCGCCAAGCTTACCTGAGGAAGCATCTCCTGGGACACCAAGCCCTGAAAAATAAAACCAGTCCAGATCAGGGTCTTTACCCATCATTCCCCAACGCGGAGAACGGGGAGAAGTCGAATCCGGTGCCCTCGTCTGACGAAAGCCAAAGCCAGGCTCCCCTGAATCTAAGCCCCACAGTCCCGGAGTGCCACTTGTGCCCAGTATGTGGCGAGAACTTTCCCAACAGGTCGAACCAGGAGCGCCACCTTCGTCTCTTGCATTCGTCGCAGGTCTTCCCCTGCAAATACTGCCCAGCCACTTTCTACAGCTCCCCCGGGCTTACGAGGCACATCAACAAATGCCACCCTTCAGAAAACAGGCAAGTTATCCTCCTGCAAATGCCTGTGCGCCCTGCGTGCTGAAAAATAACAGAACAGTCGTCGTGCCTTTACGCGGAAGAAAAAACAACAAAAAAAAGTGGCGTCTTAAAAGAAAACACAAAACAAGCCTCCATTCCTTATGTTTATGCGAACTAATTTCAGCACATACAGTTCTCACTGTGGATTTAAGTACAAAAGTAAAAGGTCTGTCTTTCACACCAATCGACGGGGGTTTAAATCTTATATGGAACTATAACTTGAATTATATATTTTCAGATTCCTCTTAAGTTAGTTTATTAAATAAAGTAAAACGTTAGTTTGACTGTTATAAGTATTTTTATAGGACTACTGCACATGTTCTATGTATTAGCTCCTAGACCTAAGAGAGGGCTCTTCAGTAGGTATACCTTATCTTTAAAATGCCTTTCATTCACAGGCTGTAAATTTCTCTATCACTTTATTAGCTTTATTATAGCTTGTGAATCGGACATGGAAATTTAGCTTTGTCTTGGAACAAATCAGAAGTCGGTAAACATTCCTTTAGTGTAGCCATAAATGCCTTGAATTAGAGTTCTTTTACACATCTACAATCTTGCTGTATAACTGCCTTAAAAGTTAAATGTCATCATTAATGATTGTTTTTTTTATCTTGAATGACGCTGGCACATATTTTATTATTATTATTGCAATATATGTATGTTTCTCTATAATTTTATTTATTTATTTAAATCGAAATTATTTTATGTAAATTATTGTTTCGTGTGATTCGTTATGTGAATTATTCTGACATTTTTACATGTTTTAGCCAAATATTCCCTTTGTCGAATTAATCTGCTGAGTTTTTATAAATGTCGTGGATGGTTTACAAATTTACTACAATCTACACAGCTCTTGTAAAACGTATAGTTTACTTTAGATGCAATCTTTTCTATACACAGCTTATTTTCTTAAATGTTAGCTTTTATATAGCGCTTCAATCGTATGTTTTCAACTGTGTTTGCTATCTACTCGAATAAAGTATTTTCAAAACGACACGGGCTCCTTTTGTCACTGTCAGTTTGTCGGTGTCAGTTTCAACCGTGTTGGAAGTGTTTGTGTAACTGTAGCTCTGCATATAGCGCCTTTTCCTCTTCCTGATGTCCTGTTGAAACAGGTTGATCGAGTTGGCTAAAATTCTTACAATGTTTATGTCCAGTGTACAATGTTTCATATGTATGAGTGTTACATTTGAGCTATATTCAGAGATGAACTTTATTTTGCTGTGATCACTTCCAAATCGAAAGATGTAAAAGGAAATACATTTCAGAACGATTTATTTCTAACATTCCCTTCCGTGTTGTAGACATTTATGGTTTTTTTAAATAGTTATAGTTCATAAGATGGCGTTATAACTATGTTGCAGAAGAAACTGTTAAAATAACTGAAAAATGCTTTATTTAATCGGGATATTTATTAGGACATTTCCACAGTATCAGTATTATTTTTCCTTTACTGTATAAAGCTCTTGGAAATAAGTTTCAATAATGGTATTCGTTAGTACCATTTAAGTTAATAATTTAACTTTTGTAAAGCATTTAAACTACTGAACTAAAATTATTTTACAACATCCCGTTTCAACTTCGGCTAACGCTGAATTAATTTTTATTGTTCGATTGATCTTTTGCCATCTTAATGCGAAAATATGGGAAATCGCAGGATAACTTTTTACTAACGATATTTTTCATAATTAGCTTTATTTTCTTATCCTTGTGTTAGTCTCTTTTGGATATTTGGGAATGTCACACGGAAAATCCCTACATTACTTTTAATGTAACGGAAATTCTTAGAAATAAAAACGGGTTTTTACATTAGAATTGAAGAACTAGACCTGATTAAAATTAGTAAAATGTTTCAGAACTCAAAATTCCTATTATTACACGTTTTATTAAAACAAAGCTGTTTTTAAAATACATTTAACAGAATACAACGGGACCCCTACTAAAGAACGTATACAATTATACTTAAAAAGTTTAGTTTCTTAAAAGTATTTTAAATACAAATTTTAATGGTAGTACTCGTTCGTCGATTTATGTGAAGTTAAAGGTACAGAAAGCGTAATAATGGTTTCCTAATGTAAAGATTTCTCACGGTCAGACTAAAATCTGTGTTCTGCTCTGTTATTAAGCATTTTATCGATCAGCAAAGTTTGTATACCAGGTGCTTTTATACTTTTTACGAGATCAGAACGTGTAGTGTAATTTACGTGTGTAATTTAGTATATTTATCTGTATTAGTGGCGTAGAACTTGAGATTGAGATCCAAAAATAAAAACCCGCTCATAACTACAATCTTCATCAATTATATCATTTTAGAGATTTTAACAAGAACATCTCTTCTAAACCTGAACAAAGCATTATGTTGAAAACTAGATGACAACAATATTGTAATATATGTTGAATGAAGACGTATACTGTACAACGTGAAACCACGTCGAAATCTACATTTCATCAATCACACACATAGTCTAACACATACCAAAGGCTAGTTATTCTGCAATTAATAATATATTGAGTGGCGAAAGCAGTTTAAAGAGGATATGTATTCACCAAGAGTTTAAAATATTTGCAGGTCAGTCCCATCTCGTCCTTCAGGTTGTGACGCGAGTAATGGAGTGTGGAATTAAACTGTATGTTCCAGCAGTTTTCAAAAGGGTTGAAATCTGGTGATTTTTCTGGACAAAGAAGGTCTTACAACCCCCCCCCCCCCCTTCCAATAAAAAGAAATTAAACGAGTTTCAAGATATTTCTCAAAATCGTGTAATCATTGTAACGTCTTTTTAAGAACACGTTTTCTTCGCGGATGAAGGAAAAAGTTCTACAAAACCTAAACAGTTGTGGTTTCTTCACTTTTTGGAGAAATATTGGTTTCGCAATGCTCCAGAAAGGCTAAATAAAACATATCCGTACCCCCCGATATTACGGGATTACTATCTAAAGAGGGCGCTAGAAATTTCAACACAACAATGCAGAACGTAATTCTAGCAACGCTTTGCATTTTCTGCGTCGTAAATAAAAATTCTTAGCCTATATATGTTTGAGGCTAGCATGATGATCTACCATTACCGTCAGTGTAGCAAAAAGCAAAGATCTTTTATAAAGGTTATCAACTGTCCTGAATATGGAGATGGATAATGGATGTGGAAGTGAGAATCCAAATTTCAACTTTTGTGTCTATTACAAGGATGTACAAGACTCACAACTCACAATCACAACACACCAATCCCCTGTGACAAAGGGGCCACCTGTATTAAGAACAATCTGGGACTGACTGCCAAGTGTACTGCAAAGGGTATGAGGTTCTCTTTTCAACTGTAGATCAAGTATTCCAGTGGGGTGCTAAAAGTTTTTGATGACAGCTATTTATCATATATGCCATGCAGACATCTTGGATATATGTCTAAGACTTAGAAACCTAACACCTGATTTTTTCATTAAACACAATCAGGAGTAACAATACGTGTGTTATGAGCATCAATAGTTTACTCAAAGCCTCCATAATGAAAACAAAAGTTACTGTTATTGAAACAGCTTAGTTTTGGTGTGAGAAAGCCAAACTTGTTGCTTACCAGTCTCTAATTGGCATTGATCTTAACCTTTAAACCTATGAGCACAGTAACGTAAGATAAACCATCCATCACCTGTACCAGTGGTGGCATGGTGGAACAGTAGGTAGTATTGCTTCCTCACGGCTCTGGGGCCCCGAGTTCAATTCTGGTCATGGGGTGCTATCTGTGTTTGCGATGGTTTCCTCCCACAGTTCAAGAACATACTAGTAGGAAAAAGGGCCTGGTGTGAGTGTGTTCGTCTGTGCTTGTGTCCGGGTGTACCTGGCCTTGGGCCTGTTGCCTGCCCAGGTTAGACTCCAGCTCCTTCACCACCCTGAATTGGATGAAGCAGATAAAAAATGGATGGATGCACTAATCAACTCTTTGTCGGGCCTTCTTTGTCATGAATATAATTCTTTCCTCTCTACAGATCCATAAAGCTAACAGGCTGCTTTTCACATTACAAGACACATACCGTAAGGACAAACGTAATGGCTAAAACATTACGAGAAGATCACCATAGAGCTGTATTCCAGCAGAGTAAGATCGTGTAGTGAGAAGAGCAGAACAAGGCAAACTCTTGCACAGCAGAGTGTATACAGATAGACTATCTCTTACAGCCCCCTCCTTTCTTCTTATGTCCCTGCTAGTGCCTTCTCTCCACTCGTGTGCCCCCACATTGAATCTCCTTGCACGCCTGTGGGGAACAACATGCCTGTCTCCTCCACCCCTCCACCCCTCCCGATCCTCTTGTACAGACGCTACCTTTTCAGTGTGCTACTTATCCTTGTGAATTGGGTGCTCTTCTTGGGAAAGCCATGCAATTTTCACAGCTTTTAAGACCCTGTATTGTAATAGTCTGCCTTGACTTTACTTTTGGGCTGTTAAGAGGGATATTAATGTATTGACAAGTTTCCTTTGTTTATGGTACTGTGTATTTGGTATTTTCGCAGTTCATTTTCCATTCCATTCAAAGTCACCGTAAATGAAGCTGTCGGCAGGGATTATTTTTAGTCGTATAGAAGAATATTTTTTTAATTAGTCCATTTATTATTTTGAAGCACATTATCCAGCTGAGGGTCACAGGAAAGCAGAGCACATCATGGAAGCACAGTGTAGGACGGAGCGCACACAACTGCCTCCCCTTGATGAGACTGACACTGGACCACTGCGGTACCACAGAGCGAACAGGGGAATCCAGAGTAACCAATCAGAGTTCACCAGCATGAGTTTCTTGGAGGAAACAGGATCACCCAGCAGCTTGTTAAGACTAGAATGTGCAAACTCCACGCACACCAGTACCCAAGCCTGGGATGGGACTTGGGACCCCTGTAGCCTGGAGGCAGCAGAGCTTCCAGCCCACAGGACCTCAGGACCTGTATTTTTAATGCCCTACAGATAGTATTTTTCCACCCTACATAAGCATCAGAACGTATTTCAATAACCAGGAAAAATATTGGATCAGAATGACTATCCAAAAAGAAATCACTGTAAACTGTGTACAAATATACAAAACTGTCAACGTTGCTTTGCAATTCAATAAAGACAATTTCCTTAATAAACAAAAGAGCATAATTCCACATACTGTATATCTATGTTCAACTCAAATCCATTTTACTTCTCAAAGCATTTTCAAAGTCAAAATATGAAAGGGGTTTCATATATATATATAGATATATATATGGTAACCATTTTACATCTGTTAAAAAAAGTCAATATGTACCCTATTGTGGTTTAGACACCATTACACTCAAGCATATTGCTACTAGCTTTTAACTAGTGAATAATGTAGGCACAAAATAAATATTATCCTGAGTTTAATAATAATGTGTTTAGAAGTTACAAATTGTCGAAAAACCTGAGAATATCAAAAGTGTAACCAACTCTATTACTGAAAAAGATGCACGGTACAGACCAATATTCAGCATTATTAATCTCTTCTATGTCAGCAGTGTTACCAAAGTTGAAAAGTCGTGGTGTAGAGATCTGACAGTTCTCTCAAGAGTGCCACTTACATTTTTACAGACCATGCAGCGATCCTGTGATTTCATGATCCCCGAGACTCTCAGGTACTGTACATGTTAGGCAGACTCGTTTAAATGGAGAGACTGCAGTCTGCTATTTGTTTTTACTTAAGGGTCATTAGACCCTACTGCATGACAGATTGTCCACATAGTGTATAGCATAAAGTTGCAGACATAAGTATTTGGTTAGTTACACACGTCAAAAAACCTTTGGTCTTAGAGCATACGTAAAAGCAACATATAGATTCAGTCAGTTAAAATACAAAGAAAGATACTGCATTATAGGGAACAAAATTAATTTCAAAGTATGAGCACTGTGATATTTTCCCTTGGTGCTGTAAGTGTACATTAATGTATGTCAAATGACTCCTTTGAATAATTACTTCCCCATAATGGAGAAGATTGTAACATCAGAGTACTGTTTTGGAACTTGCCTTTAATAGCTTTTACTGTGATGTTCTGATTTCTGAAGCTCTAATTAATTTTTGCTGCACCCACAAGATCTGGACTTGTATGTCTGTACACTTCAGGTTTCGGCAACCTCACACAGGGGAGAATAGGGAAGTCAAGGCAGATGCCTCTGAAACACCCACCTTTGAGCCACTCAACTTTTAACACATCACAGGGAGCACAGTGCTTAACTGGAAGCACTGGGCTGATTACAAGAGAAGCCAAGTCCTTCACTGACAGCAATACTTGCATTTGGCCAGGAGGCTGCAGGGTGTCCAGTCACACAGTTGACTACTGACATAACCCAGCCCCAGACTCTGGAGACCCCCATAGTGGGCATTTTCATCATCACCACAGGGGTAATGTCCAACAAACCAAGTACCAAACTACTGCATATGAACTCATAAAACACAAGACAAGACCAAGTTTCAGTATACATATACACGTATTTTAGTTGCTGAAGACTTAACTGAAGCTTTTTTATAAATCTATATAACAAGTTTTGAAAATGAAAGAGGCTGTTTGGCCTATCAGATGGCTAGTAGCTAACTGATCAAAGGATGTCATGCGGCCATTTCTTAAAAGCAGCCAGGATATAGAAATATGAAAGAGATTTGAACACATGATGCCGCTGTAGTCCAGCCTGTTCTGGGAAGGCTGATTGAACCACTACGAATGCACATCATGGGCCCATCTGCAAATTCATATGAGGGCAGTCAACCCCATACCCCTCATCCCAACCAGGTGAGCTCATGCCTGCTGCAAAGCAAGGGCTGGGCAACCAATAACGAAGGGCTAACAGACATGCAAGCGGGAAGATCGAACCAATCGCCCCCTTCCGGATCGAATGTCCCACTTCATATCCATGCCCGTCTATTTGGGAATAGGAAATTTTGGGTAACGGACAGCAAAGTCTTATTTTCCTCTCTCTTTGCAAGCACTGGGAAATCATCCCCACCCTTGACCAAGGTCATTAAACATAAAAAAGTCTCGTGCATTGCAAAAATATTGCAGGATTTATTAGCCATTCAGGTTATCTACTAAAGAGATTCTTAGTCAAAGTCTAGCACACAACAACCCAGCCATACAGAGAAACACTGCTTATGAAAAGTCTGACCATTAGCAACTGCTCAGATCCAATTCAAAAACAGACCGAATTCCAGAAGCCCGAGTGCTGGAATATAAACTCTAAACCCCACACAAAATGGCAGACAACAAACAAGTAGGACAGAGGACAAGGCTGTTTGAGCACAAAACATGGCACATAGAAGACAGACAACATGACAAAACAACAGTGAGAAATATAAAAAGCACTATGCAATACACTAAGTGGCAGTGCAGAACATGAGTACTGTGTAAGGGTGTGTGCTGTCTATGCCAAAAGTCACAAGAGGTCAGAAGATGAAGACGAAGGATTTGTCATCATCATATAGTGAAAACAGGAGACTGGAACGCTGGTAAACCAGAGCTAAATCTTTCTCCTATTCCTTAATAAGACAGTCAAAGACACAAAGAAAGTTCATGCTAATGATCAAAGGTTGCTCAAGTGACCACCAGCTGGTTTGGGTTCTTACGGTAGAACAAACTATTAGTTACTTTTGGGTTCTTCTTCCATCAGTATTCCTTTTCTGTTTGAGCAACATTAGTATCTACCTGCGAAATATTTTTCCCTTCAGAACTATGACATTTGCAAAGTAAATGAATCAGCATCAGTTTATCAGAACAGAACTCTTTCAGAGAGCACGTCGATAAACCTGAAGCGGATGATAAAATATTTGTAGAACGGTGGGATACACAACCAAAGTTTGACAAAGGGAACTATTTGGTGTTAATGGAAGACAAAACAGCACCAGATTTCCCCTTTCTCCCCAATTACAGGAAACCACCTGGAGTAACACACTGAATTTCAAATCACTTTTAATGAAACATCATTTAAATCTCACATTTCTAATAAAGGTAGCCAGGATTTTCTTTAGAATTAAAAACAGTTTGATATGTTAACAATAAAACATGGGTATTTCAAGCCCCCCAACCCCAGCTCTTTTACAAAGATTATATTACAGGAATATGCTTCAAAGCAACACACTTAAAAATGCTTATTTTATATAATGCAGAATTAACACTAGCTTTTGTAGTTTCATACTTGTTGACAGATCCATAAAAGACAGAATTTTATTTGCATACATTCTTTAATATAGAGATTTCTGAGTGCAACTCTCAGAACACGCCTCCTATGTTATTTATCAGTGCTTGAGAATTGTGTATAGGTAAGGCAAATTAGTGCAGCAGGATGGAGTTGCATCTCTAGTAGAGCTCACACAGCCTGATTAATACCTGGCTTTCATGGCAACGGAATCGCCAAGGGACCATATGGAAACAACAAAGAGCCAGATTCAAATTATCTGGAGGGTAAAATGACTTCAGTTCTGGCATTCTGCATGTCCCCCCTGAATGCTGGCATTATTTACGTTCGTTGTGCAACTTATCTGAACCTTTAACTCCCAGTATCATATCGAACTTTGTAAAACAACTGCACTACTTAACTACAGTATGTTACAGGTACCTGCCAAGTAACCATTGTGAAAGGCTTATGTGCTTGTGTCATATCTCTAGAGATTCTCTGTGCACACTCCCTCTTTATTTTATCAATGTGTTAGGGATGCATAACAATGAACATGCATGTGTATTTTTGGATGCACACTTCTGAAACCTATGCACCTGGCTGGTATGTATTTGTGAACCACACTTAGATGAATCTACAGCGATACAGGAGAGCTAAAGTAATTAAGCATTTTAAATTAAAGTGGTTGTTAAATGCACCTTGCTTTTATTGTACCAGCTGAGACTGATAAGGACGCATTAGTGCTTAGAACCATTTCCTTTTGTTACCTGCTAATACTGGGCTGAGGATTCAGTTGTCTTTAAAAAAAAACCCGTTGGAAAAAGCACTCTTGTATTCTTCTCATAACAAAGGTACTGCTAGTAACTAATGTCTGCCTGTTACTCTATGGTATTCAAGGTGTTTTGATATTCATTCAGACTGTCTCAATTCTTGAGAAATAAAAAAAATCTTTAGAATAGTTTTACTACTTTAGTGCTGAAGTCTAATTAAAGCCCACATTATTTTGAATTTTGAAGCTATTTTTTTAAGACATTTATTCAACATCTCAACACTATAGGAAAATGTCTGACATACACAGCCAACTTTGTGTGAACAAAAGGACATACTCATATTCAACATATAGAAAGACATATAATGTAGATATAACATATAGACTGATACAGCAAGGTTTCTCAGAAATGACAGTGCATCTCCATTTACAGTTCATCTCCACTCAAACCATCGAGAAAGATGCATTAGGTGCACTAGATGTAGGGAAATGACTTTTCACAGAAACATAGAAAACTGAAAAAATGCTGTGTCTGCATTGATTTTGTGTACACCACACAGTACACAGAGTAGCTTCAAAGCCAGGTATTACATCAGCATGGTGAGCAATACTTTCCAGTTTCTGTTCCAGATACAGAGTGCATGTTTAGGTAAGAATCACCTGAGGCTCTGATTGCAGGTTTAATCTAATCAGCTAATTCACTGAAGTTAACAGCTCAATGAAAGAAATGTCAATTTAATATAACTGAATTGTGTTTATCAAATATTACTCCATATTTACAAATAAAAAAAATCAAAGTGGTTTACATCTAACCACAGGAAGAAACATTCACTTTTACAATATGTTATCACAGCTGATTAGTGCAAAATAGAAACATTGGAATGTCACAATGGAATATTTGTAGCTTCATGGGCCGATGAAAAACAATTTAATTAAGAAACAGGTATTAAAGGAATCTGTGAAAGGTTAAAGTATTTTACAAAGGATAACTACACAGAATTACACTTACTGTAATCTAATCTTTTTTTTTAATCTGGAGGATTGAAAAAAAAAACAAGCAAACCAAAACAAACTAAAGATAATACATGGAAATGAGATGCATACAAGCAGGAGTAAGACTCTAATGAAGACTATCTTGTCTTTCAGATTTTAAACAGACGCCTACAGTATAATAGAAGATCCAACATAAATCATGCAAGGTAATGTAGGTGTTACTATAAAACATATGGAGACAAACCACATATGTAGAGGTCTTTTCAGTCAGTAAAGTCATGTGCACTTACCAATCCCTTACTTTCACTTGGGCTACAAAGCTTTCAATGGTTATTATGTACAAAAAATCTTGTTACATTTCACTTTTTCTGGTCTATACAATTATATTGAATTCAAACAGGTGAATTAAAAGATTATTTGGAATTGCCATACTAAATAATCTTGAAAAAACAAACATTAACGACAAGGTGAAAAAGATGAATGCTTCTATTTGCAGAATGTTTGTTCAAAATGTCTTCCCTTTGATGCCTATTAATATGAAGAAAACCAATGACAACACACATTCCCAGGATACAGTATTTCAAGATCTTGCAACCAGAAAAAAAAAATTCCCACATGATGTGGGTCACTGCAAACACTGAATGGAAGTATTGTTAGACAGACTACAAGAGAAAGCAATAATCTAAAATCCCAAATTTTGTGTACATTTTTACTGCTAACAAAATGTAAAGCAAGCTCAATCACAGCAGCTTCAAGCGTGTTCTGCTGGAATTCAGTTTAACATGCTCCCTTGACGTACAATTGTGATCTTGCACGTTCACCACTTTTTAAACTAAATGGATTAGAATATATACTGGACTAGTCATATAGCAAGCAATTACTGCAAAAATAACTTAGCTTTTTCAAATATTTTACTCATATTATTAAGGACACTAATCACTCTCATTAAATCAGCTGTTTTAAAACATAGGCAAAAATCAAGGATAATCTAAAAATAAAAGATGGTATGACACAAAATTACCTGTTGCCAAATCTTTGACCACAAACTCTGAAATGTGCAATGAAGGAACGGGAAGATCAAACATACAATACTACACAATTATAGCAAAGAGACAAAGAGACACATAATAAAATTGAAAATGCAGCTAAATCATTTTTTTTTTAGCTGGAACTTTTAGCACTGCAAGAGTTCTTCTGGTGGTACGTAAAAAAACCCCGGCAGTGAATGGATGACAAGGTTCTAAAACTAACAAACCCTTGAGATTTCAATTTTTAAAAAGTGAGAAAAAAAAAGTAAAAAAACAGTCAAGTTCAGTTGGAGGATTTGCTTATGGCGCTGGCCGATCGCCGAAGTTTCCCCGAGACTCTGCTCTTTGTGGCACGTGGCATTGTTGGGGAGACCTGATCTGTGGTGTCTGTTCCTACGGCAACGCTGAGCTCAGCACTCGTGCTGCCACTGAGGGAACCTGAAAACAGGGAGAAATCCCAGAGTCAAACAAGCCTGCACACAGCTCAGACACGCTGCAGAAAACAGCACGGCGGCCTGGCCTCGCGGAGCGGAGGGTGTTTATCGCCGTAGTGTTCCTGAGCCCATGAAAGACCCCACCTACCGGGCTCTGCCCTGACCGAACACACTCACTCCTCCACTGTTCTTTTTCAGTGCACATTCCCAGAATGCCTCTTTGAGCAAACAAAAATCCAGAAAGCGAGCCAGCCTTTGAAAAAGCAAAAGAAAATATCGCTAACATGTGTGATGGAACATCAAGTGTGCAGGCACCTTCTTTATAAATAAGAAGCACCTTCCTCTACGTAGAGGAAGGCAAGGGATCACAATAAGTGTATAAACTCAACAAGACTACATTACATTAATGTGACAGCCGAGAGTACACACAGCATTGCCTGCTAAAATGTAGCCCAGGTATTAAGACAGGTTCCTGACAAACCTGTTAGAGGAATTATTTGTTCCTATATATTCACATTTCCAATGGTTGCCCAGGCTGCCATATATTAAAGGATGAAAGAAAAAAGTTAATAGGACATTTACTCTTAAAATGAGAACCTTAATTTTATACCTCTTGGGCAATACAAATGTTTTTGTATTTAAATGTGAAAAATATTACAATTTGAACCTGGCACATTTCAAACAAATATTTTCGTGAACTATAAAGAAAATAACATGCACACATCTTTTAAATGTTAATCTTTGGAGAGAAGTCACCATGCATGAGAGTACACATTACTGTAGAGGGAGGCAAGAAATCGCAATGGGATTATAAAAACTCACTATCAAAAAAATCTTTCAAAAGCCCTCACCCAACCCCCAGCACACCCACAGTTATAACGTTCTATTCAGTTTAAACAAGTTTTCTGTCTGGTCAAGATGGCATCTGCTTGCTTTTTTTTTTTCTCTGAAGCATCTCAAGTTCCTGTAGCTAAAAAGAACGGCAGATGGTCAAAGTAACATAAACTCAGCCCACTGGGCTGACGACTGCCTTCTCCCTGAAGGGTCTCAACGGCAGCAATCGAAGCTTGTATGCATATGAAAGGAGCTGCAGTTCAAACAGGCAAGCGTGTGCAAGGACAGACCACACCTAGGTACCTCAGAGTTACCCAAAGGATTCCCCTTGCCCTTACAGAGTGAGCATTCCTTCAGTCTAACTCCAGTCCCTCTCGGCAAGCCCCAGCCATGCAACCAGCCCCGCAGCTCCGCAAACCCAGTACGACTGACAGGGAGATGGCAGCTGTGGAGTGAGCAAGTGATAACCACAGCAGATAAAGGCGTTCACACAAACATTATAACTCCACTCGGAAGCTGCCTGGCACAGACCTTTAAGGTTTAAACGGCTGATACTGGGAACTGAGCTACAGTGGGAAAATAGCTCTTCAGCTAGCACCCTAAAAACATACCCTGCTGCCCGAAAGCAGAAGGAAAACGTGTTCTTTGAACGATGTTCATACAGTATATGTGCAGCTACATGTGTGCCTGCATCCTGGTCTGCAGTCTGTCTAGATGATATCAAGCGTTTGAAATGGATATTACAAAACACAGCTTCTCGCACTGCCTGCCACAGAAGAATCTCTTCATTCACTCAGATGGAATCATCCGTCCGTTTCACTTTACGGAGAAGTCCCGCGGCTCAGTTTTCTTCACTTTCTTTTTGTCGCTCTCCGCCACCAGAGAAGTATGAAGGTGCTGTTCCTCGGTATTCAAGTGCGAATAATGTGTGACTGAATGTTAAGAGGAGCGAGAGTGTCTGTATTCATTACTGATTCAGGTCAGAGCAGGTCCAGCACAGTTCAGCTCAGTGTGATGCCATATGGTCTGGGAATCAAGGTCAATGCAGAGTTGAAGGGCTTCTGACATTCTCATGTCTAAGATATATATTTTGTATTCCAGTCACAGCAATGAATAGCAGTGACAAAAGCCTGTTTACCAAGACTATTACAAAGGAATATTGTTTTAGAAAAGTGACTTCTTCAGACGGCCAGAAGAATAATACATATTTTATATGAACTATAATAATAACATAATAAAAATCGTGTGGGCATACTGTACATAGATATGCGCAGTATAACAGTTTAAAATGCATTCTAGACATTTTCAAGACTATATATTACACACATATACAGCAGAGGTCAAAATGATTACATTATCATTTCAATACAATGAGCAACTTTTTAAAAAGCAACAAAAGACAAATGACTAAGGTTTAAATCAAAATGAATTAAGGATTGAATTAAGGTAAACTAAAAAATAACGTTCAATGTGTTTCTGTAGTGAGAAAAAAATGGCACAATCGTGTACAAGTCCTCTGTAACTGGGCTGAGGAGGGGTAATGCCAAATCATGTATTGTAAGAAATGAAAATGGCTGTTTTGCGGCACCAGATGATTTCTTCACTGTACGCTCAACCACGGCTACGTGAAGCACTTTCACAGGAACATTCTGGAGCCCCTGTGCCTTAAGCCGACGTCGAGGCCCTAAAGAGTTAACGTTCGGTCACCCACTCGCTCTCTCTTTTCAATAGGCCTTCCCCGTTCCTCTCTCACTGAGGCTGCTGTCACAGCCCCTTTGCTCCTGTCAACTGGGTTTTAAATTGCCCAGACAAACAAGCAGAACCAACGGGTTTGCAAAGGTCACACCTGGCGTGTGGACGGCCTGCTCCCGGGGATGGAGGCCCCACCCACGCTCCTCCAGATCCGCGCCACTCGGCTTTTCTTCCTTTTGTCTTCCCGTCCTCCCCCAGCTGTTCCGCTGAGAGCCTCTCGCATCGGCCCCTGCCCTCCCCCCCCATCCCCTCCAAACTCTTATTAAGCCAAGCGGACTCAAAAGTGCCGCTCAGCACGTGCCGCTTCTTATCTGCGCCATTTCAAGATTGTTGTGTGTGGTGCTTAGTCAGAGAAAAAAAAAAAAGTAAATGGGCTTCATTCTCATTGGCTCCCCTGCAGCAGTTCAAACAAAGCTTAAATGACAAAGACATTTTCCAGTATGGCAGGTGTTAGTGTCAGATTCTGCCCAAGGCTAACAGGCACACATGGGGGGAAAAAAAAAGTATTTGCTTTTTAGTTAAAGCTAAGACATGCAGGGGCAGATAAATACTATAAGTTCAACCGTATTGTTCATGCTGCTACTTAGTCAGGTGTTAATTCCCATAAAACAGTTGTTCCACAGCGCATCAGTTTCAATTAGCAGCCCAACTAAACAGAAACCCACGCAATGCTGTTTTGGGGAAAGCAACAGTAAATCAAGCTTGTTAGTAAAAGGAAAATGCATTAACCAGGAAAGGGTGGCCATTGGAGGCAGCTGAGCTTCAAAATTGGTCTTACCTTCGTCAATTACAGTAATGAGACCTTTTACATATTTTAATCTAAAAGAAAAGAAACAAAATAGGTCATCATAAGAAAGCGGTCAGAAACAGAGCCAGTAATACAATTATGCTGTGCAACAAATACTTTTGAACTGCCTGTAAACGTGAACGAAAAAGAACAAAACAAATCATAGGTGATAGGGGGCACATTCCCACGCTTAAAAACAATTAGACAAAAAATTAAACAGAGTAAAACTTAACAGTCATCCTGTGTTTACATAAAAGCAAAATTAACAAAATATTTCCCCCTCTGTCCTTCCTGCATACCTCTAAAGTATCATTATGCCTTACATAAGAGATTACAACTTTAAGGGTGTTATCACAAACCCAGGTTACAATACAGGAACATTCGTTTTTATGGTGTTGATTAATGCCTCATCTTTTATTTATTTCAGGCTTTGATTTCATCAATAAACATCAAAGTATCTAGCATTTGCCTCCCCACGCAGGACCACACAAGTCTTGATTGCATCCAAGGTCAAAATTACTGTCCAGCATGAAGGATCCCCATTAAATCACCTTTTGGAAGACCATCTTCTTGGATGAGTGTAGTGACGAAGAAATTGAATGGGCAATACTTGTATTTCAGCTAGGAATCAAGCATGACCAGATACTTTTTTGCACTGCAGTTTGATGACTTTACGGTTCATAGAGAATCAATCCGGAAGCCTGAAAGAATATTTGCCTCTACACTTGCATTGCAGGATCATTCCAGAAGGATTCTGGTACATTCTGTTGCGGTGCAATGCGCTTACATTTGTATGAAACAGCAGGGTGCTTTTCTCCCTGGAGAAGAGCCTGAGTATGTGTATTTTGTATTCCAAAGATGTGCAGATGTCCTGCTATATGGCAACATTGTCAAGCACCCACATCAAACATTATCTCAACGTATTAAAACAATGGATTGCATGGACAACAATTATTAGGATAACCATAAAAAATTCTTAAAACTGAATCCTTTATTTTGTACCTCAAAAAGTACAACTCAAAGCCAAATTGTCTATCTTGTATGGGTTCATTTTTCAAACTCAGACAACAGAATGAAGTATGATAATGTTATTAGATGGCTTGGAATTTTGTAATGCATTAGAAATATAATCTGATTTCACCCTTTTTGCATTTGACCAGCATTGAAAAGTCATTGAAATATGGCTGAAATTAAAGTGGTATCTTTCGGTCCCTTTTAAGAATTCCTGGTTGTGGCAACAGCAAGACATTTTCAAAGGGAAGTATTTACTGGCTGGATTAACATGCCCATGCTGGAGCAAACACATACTTTCATCATCATGCCGTTGTGTTAGAAGGGGTCTGCTGAGCAGCTTTAGCACTGAAGTACCAAACCAATGATTTTAAAGTCAATTATATTAAAGCTTACTGAATCGAGCTCCAGCCTGCCCAAGAGATCCACACTGCATGTCAGTGATGTTAATAACCCCCCTCAAGATCCTCACTGTACTATACACAGACCCCAAAATAATAAACTTTACCGGGTGGCTAAGTCTGAAACTTTTGAAGAAGCAATGAGGAATATGCTGTGGTTCTTGTGGTTGAGAAACAGGTCGAGAGGGTGGTGGATTCAGAGACAGCATGATCCTGTCTCCTCCCTGCTTCATCTGTGTATCATTAGCTTTTAAAGAAAACTTAAATAAAATGATCCACTGATTTTATCAAGCTTGTGTCACACAATAGAAGGCAACGATTTGGCAAAACTGGTATATCCTGTGTTTTGTGTATGTTTAATAATAGATTGTTACTATTATACAGGTGACTTCTAATTGAACCACAATGTAATCTAGTCGCAGAAGGTGAAGACACTTCCAAAAGTATTTTCTAATGTGCTAAGCTTTACTAATTCTGTGCCTTTTATAACTCTATTTCCACCAAAACCACCAAGAGGAGGAAACCCATAAACCCCAGTGTTTTACATGCAGTTGTATTGTGCAGTATATCTTCATATACAGGAATGCATGGCTAGCACCTTTTAGACAATATAAAACCAAAAGCAACATGGCATATGTTCTTTCCTTCTGCTGGCTCTTATCATTCTAAAGTGTCTAAAATGTGTGATCATTACACTGCAATCATTTGGGATCACTTCTCAGTGGAATTTACGAAAAAAAAAAGGTTTGCATGAAATCACTGATGCAAAGGAAAAATGATGAGTTAATTTTAAAAGGTGAAAGAAAGAAAGTGCTGTGTAAAATTTGAGAAGGAGGCTGATTACCTGCAAGTTTTATACAGTAGGCGGGGGATTAGCACCAGAGACAAAAAGCAAAGCTGACTAGCATACAGCTGAGTAATGATAGTGTGAACAGATGGACTTGGAGACAGTGGTGATCAAATAACCAGATTCTCGGAGGTGCGCTCTAAACACAAGGAGCTGGGACAGTACTGTGTGTTTTAGAATGTCCGGAGCTTCCCGATATAACTTTCACTAAAGTACAATGATGTATTTAATAGTTTCAACAGCTGGAAGAAGTCACTACAATGTTGGATGCAGGAGTAACAAAAAGAGACACAAAAATTTGCTACATCTACAGCTGACCTAAAGTTTTAATCTATCATATATTTTTTCAACCGATCTCTAAAAGATGTTTAGGTAGTTGAAGATAGGCAGCCAAAATACTATAAGAATCCAACTTAAATTTGCTATTTGTTTTTCATTAAAAAGATGCATGCTAACTCATCCTAAACATAAAAAAGGGAAAACAATTGCTACATCACTATACAAATGTTGCTCTTTAAGTTAAATGTCTATATTTTCCTCAGATTTTCAAGAAAGACAAAGAATGAGCAGTCAGCCTCTATCCCTAGTCAGGCTTTCTATGATACAGCAGATAACTTCCCTGAAATCATTAAGGAGCTAAAATGCATCAAATGCATTACTAACAGGAAAGCCAGACATGACTGACAACATAAAGCTTTTATGTGAAAAACAGCTAAACTACACATTAAAAGCAACCATAAAGTACCTAGAAATCATTGTCAATATACATACCATAGAAAGTGGAAAGAAAGCTTTCTACTTGTTACCAAATATATTTTTTTACCCCACCTTGCTATAGGCTATAACATATCTATACTGTATATGAAACAAATAAAAACAACACCCATTAAAGCTGAAATAAATTATATAAATACATCCATACATACAGGTTTTGTGAAAGATAATGTGCATAGTGTGGTCACTAAAGAGAACAAGCACATGCAGAAGGTTGTGATGCATAACTTAAAATTAACAAAAATGGTGCTCGTTTCAGGGGTAGTGACATGCCAAATGGAGAAAAGGGCAGAAGTCTTACAGTTAAACTTGGCCCAGGGGTAATCCATGTCGAAATACATTCCTGGCCAGCGCCTGCACACTGTCATGAATGAAATGTTAGTGGATAATGAGTGAGAGAGATGGAAATACAGTAAGATATGGCACAACGAGGAACATGGCGGTGTGCTGGACATTCAGTTCACAAAGAAACCTTTAGAAGGAAAAAAAAAACCGGAAATTTTGGGCTTCAAAAGGTGACGGTCTTCAATTCAGAAGCAATGACTTGGATTCAACGGCAAGATAAGCAATGCCTGGATAATGAGCAAAAAACAATGACATAGGAGATGGCAGGTTGGAAGGAGGGTTATCATGAGACAATATAATAGCTGCCTTCTCAGGTTTGTTCAAATAAACACATCACACCAAACAACAATGGCCCAGCTGTCATTGGTTGGAGCCTGGGTCATGTCACAAGCCAGCTGTGCTCTGTCAATTGTAAGGGCCGGGGGCTGGCTTTAGTCTGCAAAACAGCAGCTCCTGCAACGTTTGGTGCACCTGCACACTTGCAGTGACATCAGTGAGAGATAACCTGCTCCTCCAATTGGTGTTAACTCTCCTGTTGGGCATTATGGAGACTGCAGATAGCTGGGTGCGTAAGGGGAACATGTCTGTCCAAGCAATGCAGGAGCTACAGCTGTAAGCTCATGTCTTAATTTGAGGTTCCAAGATGGGTGTGCATGATGCCAATACTAAAATAAAACTGTTGATTACACATTCAAAAAATAAACAAAAATACCTGAAAGATTTGTTAAGAAACACAAAATTACAGTTATCGATCTTATTATTAAGATTAGTTGCTCACGCTGTTTATTAGCATTATAAAAATCTCATGGCTTACTCCAGTGCATACAGTACACAGTGAGTGCAAAATGACATTGTTAATTTTATCAGGACTGTTTTTTTTTACTCCAATCAAAAGATTTGAACATTTTTCATACAAATCTAAGTTTATACTATTGTTTGAAAATAATAACAATATCTGAAAAAAAATTAAAAACACTTCAAATGCTGGAAATGAGGATTAAATCAGGGGCCTTTTAGTTTTCAATCCTATGCTATACAAATTGAGCTAATGGATTTTCATTCAATTAGTAAAGCAACATTCTGATATCTTAGTTTACATAAACCGAAAATTGTAAAATGATTACTATCTATAAAACCTCTTAGCTACCGATTAAAATAAATCTTTTTAGATTTCCATTGCCAGGATGAGTAATAACTTGGAAGACAATGAAGCTCCTGTGTGTGAACAAATCACTTAAAAAAAAAAAACTGCTCTGGAAAGCATGAGCCGTTGTGAATTTTGTCAAATTGCACTGCATTACTTGTTTCATAACCAAACAGTTTGTGGGGATACACATCCAGACATACAGCAGACAAAGCTGAAGATCTACACTACAAAAAGCCACACAATGCCCCGGTTATAATGCTTGTAAATCTATTCACAGATGCAGGGTCTATGATAATAAAATCGTTTCAAAATGAATTTCGAATGAACCAAGAGGGTCTGCTTACATTAAATCTTGATTATGTTATGAACACTTTTATATAATGCTGGTGTGGCTTGCTGTGAAACAAATCCTTGATTTGTGGACAAAAAAGAAATGTTTATTCCAGGGCTAAAATAACCTACTCGGTCTTGATAATCACAATTAAGGTAACCTATTCAGTCTGGCATGCACATCTCTGTCACCTGCGCTATAAAAGAATTCTTCAGAGTTGCACGATGTACAGAAATAATAAAACGAGAAATAAATACCATAGCTCTTAGTAATTACAAGCTTTTTTTTTCCTAGGCTGTTTAGTATTCCAGTTCATGAAAGGTCAATAGAGGTCAGTGCAGTGTTTCTCAACGGCCTCTCCAGGAAGCAGTGGCATAATTATGTAAATAGCTCTGGCTCCCCTCTGCTTCTGCCTGTCTGCTTATCTCCACAGCCTTCTGCAAGCTGCTACTGGAGATCGGCACAAACACACACACACACACCTCTTATCTCCTAACAAAGCCCTGAAAACACACGGACTGTGGCCAGCAGCACTGAATGGTGACGCATGTCTGATTTTATTTGCGGCCCGATTAAATTTGCCGGATTTAATTTATTTCTGCAATTTTATGGCTTTGATGTAAGATAGTAGTTTAACAAGTCAGAGTCCGGGGGGGGGAGGAATGAAACCGATGTTTGACACAGCTAACACAGGTTGCGGAAACTGGTTGGCAGTGGTACGTCAGGTCCGAAGGCTTCTGCACAAAGTGAAGCCACACCAAAACGCAAACCGGACTGGACAAAGGACAGCCCTTTGATGTCACCAGCAGATTAGACTGGCAGGAAGAGAAACAAACTGCGCTGCTCTGAAGAACTACTTGTTTTTGTTGTGTTAATATGATTAAGAGATCATTTTCTTTTGGCATCTGTTCTGGCAGCTCTGAAGTTAAAACTGCAACTCAGAATTGATTAATGGCTTAGATGTTCTTAAATTATCTTTGGGATGAGAGATCATTTCTGAAAGTAAAACTAATTCCTGAAAATACCAACTGTGCCAAAGACATATCACTAAGGTTGACACAATTTTATACTACTATAGGAAGTCTGCACATACAACAGACCTGGAATGATTTTTTAAATGATATTTGGATTCATTATTAAAACAGTTCTATCAAACCTATTTAGTTTGCTTGCTAAAAACATGACCACAGTCCAGTGCTTTGCTCCAGGGAAGATATGATGAATGAAGTTCTGCTTCCCACTTCTGGTGCATTAATTCCAGGCCTTGGTATCCTAGCAGCATAATCCACATTTAACATTAACAGCAGTGGTTTCTGCGATGAGAGATCATTTTCCGATAAGTAAGCATTAATTCAGTTTCAGCTCTGTATAGCATATGCAAGGCACAGCAAGTAACCTACACCCTTCAATAAATCTGAACACATTACCGGGAGCTTGTTCATTAACCTTGCTGGCATTGGACGTTAAAAGGAGAGCTGAAGAAAGGTTTACATTAAAAAAGTTGAGGGTACCAGCTTTGATGCAACACAAATGAACATGAATGCCTTCATTTCTTTTGATATTCATTAGACTACGGAGATGAAGAAAGCTTATCTCAAACGGCAAAGGACTGGTGTGAGGAAACAGGTGTACACAGGAACAGTGCTCCAAGATGCAAATTACATCAGCAAGAAAACCTCAGCCTTACCTGTCCCACTTAGGGAGTAGTAGCTTGGAGAGGGAGTAAACACTTGAGATGCAAAATCTTCAAAGGTCATCACCTCTCTGTGGTTCTGCACTATGGCTTCCAGGTACAGTGCCCGTTCTTCATAGCTGTATGTCGACAATTAAGGAAACATTTCCAAACCAAAGCTCACAGGGCTTTGTACAGGTGATCCTGAATTAAAAAACCATCCACTGTCACGCATTTTCAGGCACCTGACTGATATAAACAAAATGAATACATACAGAGAACAAAATACCTGCAGAGGAGAAAATGATTTAACATTCAAACAGAAGTGACAGTCTGAGTGTCTTTCAAGGTCCTGGAGTAAAACCCAGAACAGTCACAATTTTCACATGAAATTGAAAATCGGTTACCAACAAAACCGAAAAGAGTGACATGTCAAAGAAACTTTCCAGCCGTTTTAATAGGACCCCTGCTTCTGCCAACCTTTTCCAATGTATGAGGGAACTCTCTCCTGCTTTGTATTGCTCTGTTGGTTTGTCAGGAGGAAAACCAAATGCATTAGAAAATTCACAATTGCAATAGCTGTAATTTTGGAAAGTTTACAGTCCCCCCTCCCCCAAATGAACACTTTCGCCCTTCCTGACAATGCAAGACGATCAAAACCCAAAATAGTCCCTCAAAGGATTGTGCAACAACAAACCTTCTGTTGAATAGTAATAATACAATACATATCTCCAGCCTTTCACCTTTATTGCCTAATGCATATGCAATTACATTAACAGGTATACAAAAAAACTCCTTTGTATAACTCTGTTGATTCACACTTCCATATACCATTGCTTCTCATAATAATGTTAATGAATAAAAAAACAAATAAGCCCATAAAAGTATTTTTGGCTTGTGTGTGAAAGTACAACAGAGCTACAGTAATTACAAATACTAACCACAGAATGAAATGTCCCGTGGACAGTTTTGTTTTAAAAATAGCGGGTGATTTTTTATTTCGATTTGGGTAGGGAAGATAGTCGGGGTCAAAAACTAAAATCCAATTTGGCCAAATGAAGTGACGGAGAATGAAGAATCATTTGAATTAAATCCTTTGGAAGTGATGCGCGTGTAGAGTTGAACGTCTGTTAACTATTGCTTCAGCTGAAGTGTTCAAAATTTGTTTTAAATTAAAAGATGTGGGCAATTATCCTGTGGTATTTGATATAAATCCCTGCGCTGATTATTTTGTGCGTCCTAAACTGTGCCATTATGAAGGATGGTTGCAATTAAGGCGTCGGACACAGTGCATTTGTTGCTGGCTGTACTTGCCCTTGTCTGTTACAGGCTTGAACTCCTGATGACTCTAGTTAATGAATAGCCTGCCAAACTTCTTCAGAGTGGAGACACACGCCTCGACCAATTCTAAAGGGACTGACTGATGCCATTCACATCTCATTAGAGGCTTGCTTATTCTGCACAGTGCTAGGCTGTTGCCAAGGCTCTCCATTCCATATTGCCACAGCAAGCCACTGGCCCTATCAACAGCAGGCTGTTAGGCCCGAGTGGCCGTCTGGCAAACAGACTCCCTGACACTAAGCTGGCACGTGCTGGCGCAGCAGGAGCAGAGTCAGGCGTGACAAATTGTTGAAAGAGCTGAGCTAAACTTGAGACCGAGAACCACCTGAGCCTCAGGCCCCACTCTGGTGCTGCCTCGATTCATTGCAAGGGCCTATAGTCTGCAGCCTGTTCCTGGGTCCCCTTTAAACAAGGCAGGCATGGGAGAAAAGGCCTTTCATGCTCTGCCTAATAACTCCCTGCTGTTTAATGAAAGGCCCTGCATACGCAACACATCAGCATACAATGTAGCGCACAACTGCTAACAAAACAGAGGGGTTCATTTGTATTTAGATAAATAAGGCATGGAAAAGTAGACAGACAAGCAAATTGCAGTGGTGATGGAGACCTTAATGACAGAAAAAAAGGCATTTCTACTTATAAGAGCACAGGTTATGAAAAGGCATATTTCTACACACAGAAGCAGGAAAACATAGTAACTTCACGTTCACGTTTAAGCCAATTACAATTAATTCGTATACAAATAATATGTTAAAGAAAAGATGTAGAAATACATCATCAGAAAAAAGACCTGTTTTAGATTTAACGTAGGTAAATCATTTAATATCACATGGATGTTCCAATTTTTGTGCCACTAATTCAAAATAGTCATGAAAAAGTATGGAGAATGAAAGTGCTTCTTACACATTTTGAAAAGTTTCTTAAATTAGAATAAAGATGAAAGATATTCAAATTATTTGTATTAGAAAAACAGTTATTTACACAGATTTTACTTTCCTTTACTTCAATTGCCACAGAATCCATGCTGGATTAAAAATGCATTTAAATGAGGACTAGTTTATAAACTAATTGTTTTAATGAAGCGTGAGAACACGCGTATTCATTTTAATCTGTAATTAATAAAGCAAACATGGACATCACCAACAGCAGAAAAATAAAAACCTTACATTTAATTTTATAAGAATATTAAAGACAGAAGTTCTGAATCTCTCTCTCTCTCTCTCGACTGTATATATTGTTCAAATCTAGTCACTTTTGTAATTCCATTATTTCCCTGCTCTCAATTTCAGAAGCTAAATCAGAACACCAAAAGAACATCATAGGATTCGCTGCCATGGAAACGTGGGTCACAGCACAATAGCAGGTCACTTCCAGGGTACTGGAGTATCAACAAAGAGACTGCGAGTTGCTCTCCTTAGCTAATACCTCACATTCTTCCTGGAAAAAACAGAAATTACTGCAGGTAAAAATTTTGTTATTATTCTTAGTGTAAGGAACCTTGTAAATCTATGTACAATATAGAGGAAAAGTCAACAAACAAATAATTCAACAGATCCCACAAGGTCAATAGAGCCATATGGCCGTCCATTATCATAAATGCAGATGACTCTTACATGGCTGTTATTGAGATTCCTTGAACAAATATTGACTCCAGCTGGGGCAGCCATTTCCGTCTGATACCACACACTGCCTCTGTCTCATGTTTTGTTAGTTCCTGTGCAATAGAGCTGACTGGAAAGAGCCTTGAGAATCAATCTGGTTAAAGCAATCAGCTGCAATCAACGGACTGTTAAATAATCTAACTATTTAGTTGACTTAGGGCCACTGACAGCAGCTATTAGTTCTAGTGCTGTAATTTTTCTGTTCTTTTCTTAATTAAGCTGTGCACTGTGGGGTTTACAAAACAGAAGTTCCTTGCTTATGTAATGAAACGAAGATCATTTCTTCTCCATTTTCCATTTAACAAAAAGATAGGGCTCAAAAGAATGTAACTGACATGAACCACTGTAAGATAATAGTATATACATAAACACAAATTGATACATGCAGCATGGACATAATTACTAGGCCATCCATATTAGGACATATGTATGACACTACTATAAATAGTATATCAGATTGAGATAACATGTATGTTCAGGTAGTGGGTCTGTGTATTAGTGAAGATCACTATAAACACTAAACAGTACACACAAACCCGAAAGAGCAGGACAAAGCTGACAACACAAGGATATGTTTGTGGGATTGTGCAAGAGTGCATCTATAAGAGTGCAGCTATAGACATAGAGACCCTAGCTTGATATTCTTTACAGTTTGTATTCTGGTTTCAGTGGGTACAAGATATAATGTACAATAACAGCAAAATTATTTCAGAAATCAGTTTTAACCCTTTAGGATATAGTTACGGTCTTCAGCATTATGATATCCTTGACAAAATGTTAATGATCTGTTATCAAACAGCTGGGCAGATGGAGCTGATACTGTCTACTACACACACATGAAAAGAAGAACCCGTACAGTATAAATTCATTTTTTTCTTCCAATTTTCTGTTGTTACTATCACAAACATTTGTCTTCCAATACGTATGGCGAAGTGAGATACAACACAATTGGAGCTAAAGAAAACAATATAGCCTTTACGAAAACAGATCTGTATTAAAGATTAATAGCTGGTGGGTCCAAATTCCAGGTGGACCACTGCTTTTCTAACCTCAAGCAAGTTGTTTCACTCAGATTGTTGTAGAATAAATCCCAGCTACAGTATATAAATAGGTATAAGCATACGTAAGTCACATTGAATAAAGGAATGATCAAAACACATTAGTAATTAATAAAAAGTCACAATGATCACGTCATAGAACAACTAAACTGGACAGACAAATTTTAGCTTGATGAGTCACATCAGCGAAAAAGCATTTCTTACTGAAGCATCTGATTGCCTGACACTTCTATGGGCTTATTACGATGAGTCAGAGAAACTGTAGGGAATCTACAGGGAAAGCAGAATACAAGTAGAAGGAGCAGAAGTTGTTTTTGATAGTAGTCTTTTATAACGCAACTATAAATTGATATGAAATCATAAATGGGTATATTAAATTATCAACAGAAGAAGACCCAATTACCACTACATACAGCTCAGCGTTGAAGCATTTAGGTACATGTGTAGCAACTGGCAGTGATCAGTGCTGTCCAGATGGCTTTGGGGAATCAGTAGTGAAAAAGAAAGGCAGTGCACCTTGATGGATCAAAGCCAAGGTCAGAAACACATTGATGTTCAAGGTGAATAAGATTTCATGAAAGCTAGGCCAAAAAAGGAGGATTACGGCCCCCCTTTAATATTAGCCTGATCTAGTTTTATCTCTGGGGCTTCAGCTGTGAAGGCAACTTTTCTCTCTACCTTTGTGCTTTTGATAAATGAACATATGCGACTCAATTTGCACGTTTACTCTATCTTTGTACCTACTGTAGCTTGGTCACATCAAACGGCAGTCTGCTGAGATTAAGACACTTGGATACTTCTGATTTCGCACAGGTTTTTACTTCCATACTTTACTTTGTCCTTGGGTCCTATTAGTCCTGTCCCCACCTATGTTGGGTTGCAGTTTTGTTTTTTGCTTTATTTAGGTCCTGAAACACACCATATACAAGGCAAGGACACAGAAGAGGTTTAGAAGATAGACAAAACCAAAGCAATAGATACTGCAGGTGAAGAGTTAAAATACAAAGATAGTGATTAAATGACGCTTAGTATGATTCCGGACACAATCGCAGGCTTTTCAGTATCATGTGTATAGAAGGA